GTGGATAGAAAACGCAAAGATAGGCCATGATCCGAAACCCAGTTGTAGTATACGGTGTCTGTCAATTTGGTTGATTTGTATTGGTGATGTACAACTTTGCTTACTGGGCTTTGGTTCATGAGCTTTGTTTCTGTTTCCCATCCACAGAAATTGTCGTGAACACCAGCCTTCGGAGAATGGCTATCCCCTGGTGATCCCATAGAGTGCATACCACACAGTAAGAAAGCTTGTATATCACCAATGCTTACATATAAATCAATCAAACAGGAAGACACCCCATACCACACACCATACCATCGACACCTGGGTGCCGCTACGGTCAAGGAACCCTACTCGCAAATGATTGGTCAAAAGTTAGACTGTGGGTCGTTAACCCTCACGCAAACCACCAATTGGCGATGAATATGGCGCAGCAACCAAACATATTGAAGGTTTTGCCTGATTCCTGCAGCTGATGGCACCGCTGAACGGTCAGTACACATGCATACCATGGGCCGCGAGACTATGGACCGGTCGACGCTTCGCACCATGAGACGAGGACAAGCTTCAGCTTATTAGCTCAAGTTGTTCAAAGATGCCTATAAAAGAAACAAATGTGTTGCATCGCTCATGGTATCCAGTTAAACGGAGCCAGTTCCTGCGTATGACTGATCAAGCTACACAAAAAACGAATGCCAGGCTCGGCTGTTCTAATGTCGACGCAAGGACGCCTTCCTTTCAGATGCCCCATTTCCTTTCCGGTTCTTAGGTTATCGAAAATGCAGACACCTGAGCAGGCCTGCCGATCGAGGCTAAACCGAGCGATGGAATTGGCTTGCCTCCACCACTTCAGCGTAGTTGGCATTGGGTCAATGAATTTCCGTTAGTCACCAGGACTCTCACGATAGAGTAGGCAGGAGCAGTGTTGCCAATTGGGTGCTGTGTACGGCCTGCAGGCTTGACCTTGGTGACACACCGATATAGGTCTTCAATCCATTAGACTACCGCACATAAGCCGCACATTGCCGCAAGGAGGACCCGACGACCCCTCCAGCAGCTGGGTGGATTTCAAGAGTCTATTTGGCCTGTGCGCCAGACTCTCACAAGAGTACCTGGTGGTCAATTGTGGATTGAGAAAAAACTGTCACTGTTTTGCACCTCCTGAACGCACAGTAGAAATGTGGCTGCTGAACATCGACTTGTGTATAAAGGGCGCCCTACTGCAATTAGCTCATTGAGAGCCGCGTAGTGATGTATGCATTATATTCATTTCGTCCATAAACTATCGGTTTTAATTTCAAAAATCACGGACACACGGAATTCTGTGCAAGTGAATTCCAAGCATTTTCTCTTATGACAGTATTTCGTCTAAAATTCAGTGCAGGCATGAAACTTACAACCACGCCACCGTAAGTTTCAGTGCTGCAATTTAACATATTAAATAGGAATCATCGTTGAAACGCCCCTCTTTATGGACTAAAATTCAAGCATGATAAGCATCATCGAGTGAGAACAAAGAGGTAGACGTCAAAAAGACCGATCATTGCGAAGAAGGAACTTTGAAATGCGGAAATTTTATCCCTGGAACAACATCTTGCATCATTAATAATAATTTTCATCCCAAAATTGTGGTCGGCATGTCGTCGGGCATGATCATAAGTTTACAGTCGGAATAAAAGCATGACTGTCGGGGATCGTGTGTACATGGGGTTTTGGGAAAAGTTAAATCGTCATATTAGGTAAGCCTTTTCCAAAGTAGACGTAGTCATCACCAAACCGGCACGGGTAGGAACGCACAGTTACTATGCTTTTTTGGAGAGAACATCGAGGAAGGTCAGACCGTTAGTAATTGAAGGTGGCAGGCGAAAATTAAGGGAGTGAAGGCGAAACAAGATGCTTCCTGCCTGAGATATGACAGGAAACGTGAAGAACCAGAACATAAGATCTGGCGAAACAACAGAGTTAGCGTGATCCAGCCGGTCAAATTGAACCAAAACTCAAAAACACGCTTAGTCCTCGTTGACTTGAACTGCTGTTCTCATGATCAGCATCACAAAAAGCGTAAGCGGGGATGTTGAGATGGAAGGATTGGCAAAGTGTACAAGAGGTAACAGTGTGTGTACAGTGAAACTGCATAGACTCACTGGTTCTCTGTTGTGCAGTCGGGCAAAATAGTTCCTTGGAAGGGGGAGATGGTGGGGATGTACGAGCAAGAGCGCGAACTGTAAAGAAAAATACTGATTGTATGGGGAGCACAGACTAGAAATCCATCGAAATGGTGAAATTCTAACAACTTCAGCATTTGGAATAAACTTGTCATGGATGCTTGTGGGGCCAGGTGAGGAGCTTGTTTGTGTTTGGTATGAATGGAACGAGTGGGCGAGGGGGTACAGTCAAGATTTGGAAGGGAATAGTTGCGGGTGTGCTATCGGACTGGGTACGGCTATGCCGTGCCATCACTGGACTGACATAACCCGGTTCTCGGACAGCCTCGATAAGACGTCACATTATTATCGTTGGACCGGGATGTGCAATATTTTGAGCAGCGGAATTTTTCTAGGTTGGCCAAGGAATGCCGAGGGGGTACAGTCAAGATTTGGTTTGGAATATTTGCGGGTGTGCTATCGGATCGGACTGGGCTATGCCGTGCCATCACTGGACTGACATAACCCGGTTCTCGGACAGCCTCGATAAGACGTCACATTATTATCGTTGGACCGGGATGTGCAATATTTTGAGCAGCGGAATTTTTCTAGGTTGGCCAAGGAATGCCGCAGATGTACAACGAAGTCGATGTGAGATCTCAGTTTTTTTCCTTTTTGTCCGGTTTCGGACCCCTGTGGATGTGAATCGTAGGCTGGGTATACTGCATAACAGCCAACAATACCCGATACTGCCGAAGATCAGTGCAGGGTTTGTGGATATGAGCATCCCCCAAAACCGTCTATTTTTAGAGTTATCGTCTATGCTATTGCAAAAATTTCACGCTCCGCTCGCCATTTTCGGTTGTGAAGAATGTTCTATTGAATATACACTCTTCTTTCAATGAGTTTACCGCTAAGAGCGCGCATCACGCTACAGACCCCAGCTAGCGAAAAGAAAACACAACTTACCTAACCAACAAAATCGCCCTAGAAGTGCGTCGAACAAAACCACATCCAAACTAGCAAGACCGATATCCGGGTTTCACTGAGAATAAAACAAGCCAGGATATTAACCCAAAAATTGGAAAAGTGAAGATTGAAAATATATAGGCTCAAACTACTTAATCTAGGACAACCGAGGCTAGCCTTGACTTCGTATCATACCTGGTCTTTTAGCGCATCCGGATCTATTCTTCTCATATCCTGGGTTGTCGACCCTCGCTATCTTAAACCCTTTGCTGCAACTGTGACCAGACTGTTCGCCTGGCCCGAAATAGCTCTGAAGAATAGATGTTCTTATCCGCCGAACACTTCCAAGAACTAACTAACTTGGTGCCCCGCTGCGTTCTTTGTTTGCCTTGCTCATAAATTCAACGATATTTTTACGGTGCTTGTTCACTCCAATGGATTAACGAACCCTCCCGCCCAAATAAGTTTACCGCTGACTCCCGTTCAACGATAATGCAAGGGAGCCTATCCAGTTGCAGTGTACGCCACAATTTTGCCATACAAATCTCCACTTACCCGTATTTCGAATTTCTCTGCTCCATCACACTGGCCAATGCTATTCTTGCCACCGCCATTAACTCGACCCCCAATCAAATCAATTACCTTCATCGCTCATTTGTTCGTCCCCACAGCCCTTGTGTTATGTCTACTATTTTATGCAATTTAAAATTGCATGTCACGTGATACGAGTATTGCCTTTGACTTTCTTTCCCTCCGTTTTGTAGTTTCCTGTCACTTTCAGATTATTTGATTGGATCATTTCTCGACTGGATGCCCCCCACAAGTATGGAACCTGAGCTGTTACCACAGATGTAATTCTCAATTCCAAAACTACTTTCGCGAAATCTTGTCCATGTTTATATCACATACGTACGTGATGAGTCACTCTGACTCCACATATAAGCCAGTCTCAATCGCCGCAAAAAGCCCATCCAAGTAGGTATTCTCACAGCAAACTTCCTTATCAGCTGATCCATCTTAAGGAGGACACTAACACACCTTTCTACCGCAAGATTTTCAAGTGCCGGATTCCCATTAGAAGGCACCGCCCACAAGAGCTGCGATATTACCACTTTGACAGTTCTTGACATTTTTGACCCGCGAACTAAGAAGATTGTCCATCATAATAGACTTGTACGACCATGTGCGTGCCATGGCAGGAGCACGACGGCATAAAGCCATGGTAGAAATTATACCATCGAACATGTTGGGTAGAGTCAAATTGCGGTAGGAAGCACATATGCAGGCGTCCAGTGCACTACACGCAGAAATAGGTGTAGTTGGGTGAAAAATTCCCGGCAACCTGCAAACAGTGCTTGTTTCACGCAAATTTATGTACTACTTAACTCTTCTGAAAGCTAACTAGTGAAAACGGCTTCAGTAAGACGAAAACTCTCCGAATTTCGTAGTATAATCACGCACAAGACTTAAGGGCGTCCTTTCTGGAATAACAGTAACTGCTTTGGGAGTACAGCGTACCATTGTGAACTGACACCTCAGAGTGTATCCTACGGAGATAAAGTATTGAAGAACGAGACGTTTTTGGTACCGCGACTGACCGATAACTCATCAACAGACTGATCAACCTCGAGTAACAGAATGTGACAAGAGGTGCGCTTGGTGTGAAGGGAGGTAACGCAGGCCCGAAAAACTCGATGTATACAGGTCTCAACCTCTTAACTCTGCCAACTTGAGGTTGACCCCAACGGTAAATTGCTCGCACGTCTACAGTACCTGCTGGAAGCCAGAATAAGGTACCTCGATGGGCCGATGTGCTGCTTTACAACATAGGGCAGTGTGGTTTGATGACGGATAGCCTGGCGTGGCACAAGAGTCAGTAGCTTGTGGCTGCGTAGAGGTTGAGCGTAGGCTACGAATTCTGCCAGACAACAAAAACTGACGAAATGCAAGTCAAATCATCTCAAATGTGACGTCCATCACGGAGCTGTCCAAAAACTGAAGCATATCAGGCCAATGATGGCACGGCACTGCCATACTCAGTTTGATAGCACACCCGCAACTGTTGCATTCCTCCTCTCAACCGTGCCCCCTTGCCTACTCGTTTCATTGACCCCAACGCCCATCATGACATTCATTCCAACTTATTGGACCACTCGTTCAAATTCAACCACCTCTGTGTCCCCATCCAACCTAACCCCTTCACTTGACTTCCCGGCAACAGAGCAACCAGTGAGTCTGCTTGTCATCAGATTGCACCATATTTTTGAAACTAAACTTGCCGTGTTCTCCCAATTCGAATTATCCCATCTCCA